GAAAAGGAATTCTGTGTAGTTTCGGGAATTTTATCAAATTTAGAGCTTTAAATCGCTTCCAGGAGTACGTTTTTATAAAGTTCGCAGGCTTCCAGACGCTTCAGTGTTGGAGTTTCGAGAGGATTCCAAGAGCTTTGGAAGGTTCAGAGTGTTCAGGGCATCGGATTGTCAAGATTTTTGACATTAGTAATCATAATATTTTTCAGAAAATTTCAGGGCTCTATAGTTTTAGGCCAATCAACAGATTCAAAAAGTTTCGGAAAATTTCAGAACAAGGAAGTGTTCGCAATTACCCTTACACCTTTTGACAAACAAAAGCACAAATTAATTGTCTTTAAACCTTTTACCAGTTGTTAGCAGTGTTTACCGGTTTACATATAATGTTATTAGCACTTCGTATAAACAAATTAGGTGCACATCTTTGATTAATACAGTTTTTTCTTCACGTAAGTAGCGCAACGAAATGATTTGCACCTTGGACCCCAACGCTTTCGTGGTAACAGTTTATTTCATTTCATGTGTGCAAATTTCAATAAAATATCAAACATGTACGACATCCATTTCTCATCTTTAGATAGTATATTATTAACTCTTAGGCAAGAATAAACTACTTGATTTTTAATTTCTTAAGTTACTTATAATTTTAATATAATCTTTTATTTCTTTTTTTTTATATATAATGCGCCTTACTTTTAGCTTTGCTAGTAGATTGACCTGTAATTATTGGATTTATTTATATCTGTCGGTCAATAAACATTATTATTATTATTATTTTTCTTTTTTTTTTCTTTTCTGTAGTTATTATTATGGTCGGTGTATCTTGTGACAACTCAGGTCTAGCCTGGTTAACTAATCGCACGGATTAAAATCAAGTAACTATTAGTGTCTGTGTCTGTGTTTGGTGAAGTTATGTAGGGTCCTAAAAAAAATTATTATTATTATTATTATTACAATGCGATCACTTGAATTCAATCGTACACGTACTTATTAAGAATGTAACTTATTCGCACTGTATTTTCAATAGAAAATAAATCCCCCTACACGACGAAGTTTTATTGTTCCCAAAAAACCGCCTCGTTATTTGTCTTGTTCAGAAGTGCAACCCCCACTGAATGAATAAAGTACTCGTTACAATAAATTCGCCGCAGGCGGTGGCACAATCTTCGATTCTTTTATGTACTGCGATTATACGGCTTTGAGTTCGAACTTTTAATTAACAATAAAATTTTATACGATCTCAAAAAGGGGCGTACAGCGCGAGATTGGCCTTGAAAGTTTGGCGGAGATTTTCGTTTAACGTGATGTACAAAATTCGGCGCTCACGTTACGGACGTTTGGCTCGAAGGTCTCGCCAAAAATTCATTACGCGTTATAAGACGATTCTCTTTGAAAGTTTGAGTAAGAATGCCGCTCTCCCACCCGATTTTTACTTAAGAACTCGCCGAATCCCAAATACAAAACGATTGGAGTTCCGTAAGGATTTAACAGTTTTAAGAGCTGAAAAGAGCAAGATTTAATGCGTTTAGGAAAGCTTCAGGGTACTTTAAAAGAAGCCGAGAGAAATTCAAGGAGAGGTGAAAATGGCGTAAAGAAGAGTACATAGGTGCGATGGTGAAATGGAAAAGATAAAAAACACGAAGAAGGAGTGAGTGAAGAGGAAACGTGAAAAAGGCTCGAACGGGTACGTCGAAGACTGCTTTTTATTTATGTAAATTATTTAATGTAAATTACACAAATATATTCCAGACACCATGGACGTCTTTGGATTGGTCAAACGATCAAAATGTCTCCCTCCAGTTACCTACAGTCTTCAATAACAGTCTCTTCTGAACGACGGACCCGGCAAAACTCCTCTTTGGACCTGTATCTGGTAAAACCGCTGGACTGGGCAGATCTTTCCACAACCCGGCACCTCTAAATCCTCCACGGTTGAGTTGAGAGGTGTCCTCAAATACCTCACCTGAAACATCGGCGAGTAACCAATCATGTCTGTCGAAGCGGTATGAGGCGGCACCTTGACGAAGTGATCTACGTTCCTCCTGTGCACTTCGATCAGTACCGTGTCGCCATAAGTCGGCACCTCCAATTTGAACACGTTCAAATTATACAAAAGGTTACCTATCGTCGTCTCGTGACCGGAGTACAGAAACACCCTTCGATCGGGCGGTTCGAGTATGTTTTTCACTTTCGCCATTGTGTCGTCCAGAATTTTCTTTATGAGGTGACCGGAATTCATAATCTTGTACTTGTTCTCCAAATTTTTGTACACGTATTGGAAGGCGACGATTTTCTGCAACGGTTCCGGGTAGATCTCCTTGGTCCATTTTGGTAATTTAAGTCCGTTGTCTTCCTAAAAACCCGGAAACTTGATTATGGGAGATGTTAGAGTGCAATCCGGGCAGCTAGTGAAAGTGGAGCGCCCTGAAGTGAACAATCAAAGATTCTTAGAATATGGCAAGATGAAAGGTAGTGAAATAAGAAGAGACAAAGAGAAAGAAGCAAGAATGGAACAGAAAACCTGAAACGCATGCGTGGGGCGCAGGCGCGATCTTTCCAGTTATACCAAAGAGTATTATTAGGTATTCTTTGGTTACACCAAGATTGAAAAATTTCTTCAAACGAAGATCAATTCAAATGAATCATGAGATATTTTGACACATTAATCAGAAAGACTAACCTCCATCTTTAAAATAAAATAAATCCACGCGGCATCTCTAAAATCGTTAATGACCTTTCCAGAGTGCTTCTGAATGTATTTGAAAACCGACCGGTACGGCTTTATGTACTTCTCCTGAATGGTCACGTTTTTGTAATACGAAATCAGCTCGCTCTGCAATTGTTCACACACAGGATCTAATAACTACAAGTAATACAGTTGAAGAGCTGCTCCAAGACAAGGAGCTTACATCCTCCTCCTCTGCGCGCTTAAATTCGACAGCAATCGGCATCCAACTGAGGGTCGGATGCCACCGTTGTACGTCACCGGGCGGCCACATTCCCGCCAAAACCAACAGCGCGCTCTCCTTCGTTCGCGTGACGAATCGGCTGCGCGCGTACACCTTGCTCTCCTGGTAGACGTCGCCGAGCAGCTCGCCGTACATGCTCCTCAGGAGCTCGCCGAGCTTGAACATCATTAGCTTGCCTTTCTGGGAACAATCGAAATCAGCGCACCTGGAAGTGCAACCCAACCGCTTACGTTCGTGAGATTTCCCAGTCCCATTGGGTAAAAGGTGACATTTCTGTGCGGGTCGAAGGGGTAGAATCCCGTCGGCGTTCTTTCACCATGGCGAAAAACCTGAAAATGAAATCACTCTATTTAGTTTGATGGTCTACAGAAGAATCGTGGAAAAATTCCCAAGCCAATCGTCCAAGTCCTTGTTTGATCGCGTTTAAAAAGAGAAAGAAAGATGCACGAATATGATCTGTGTCTGTAAATGTAAAGATGCGGAAGTTTGTTGCTACAATTGCTAAAATTAGAAGATCAGCCAGAGGCAACGGAGCGAGAAATGAAAGATGGGAGGAAGTGAACGAAATCTAGAAAATGAATCATCAAGAAAAAAGATTTAAGTAAAAAAAATAAAAGCAGATAAAGAAACTGACGACGCAACGTAGAGATCAAGAATGGCTGTGACGAAAGAAGAAAAGATAGAAATGGTGAAGTTATGAAGTGACGAGTAGAACCTGTTAAACAAAAGACCGAAAGAGAAAAGTTTAAGAAAAGATAAAAATAATGAAGAATGAAGAACAAAGAGACACAGAGGTAAGAAAAAAAAATAAACCAAAAAAAATACAAATAAGAAACAATCATATGAACAACGGTGTGAGGAAGCAACGAAGCTAAGGAACGAAGTGACGAAAAAGAAAAGTAGCAAAGAAAGGAGCGAAAGGGCAACAAAGCGGAGACCTTCAACTTGCTGTAGGAAGGGTTGAAAGTAGAGTGGTAAAATTCAAGATTAACAAGACGAAACAGCTTAGGAAAAAGACTAAAAAAACAAAAAGGATAAGCGAAAGACATGGAAACGAGGAAAGAATGAAAAAAGAGCTAAGACACGAGGCAATGAGTAAACAAGAAAAAAGAAAACAAAGGAGGCAAGGGAACAAGCAAAAGGCGAATGGAGAAATGGAGATAAAGAGCTAAGCAAATAAGAAAAAAGGAGACGAAAGAACACGAACATAAGCAGAAAAGGAGGTAAAAAGGGAGACAAGAAAATGTAGTGTTATGCAAGAGAACAAATTAAGTGCGTCAGAAAATGCGAGCTAATTGCACTTACAGCGTGCACAAGCACAAGTTCACCAGTGCAGTCTTCCACAGTGCCAAAAAGCAACACGCGACCACAGCACTTAACATTTCGGTGCCTGCTCAAACATTTGCCCTTTTCAATCAAAGCACGAGAGTCCGTAACGGAATCATCAAGCATTGTTTCTGATTTGTTCGTATAAACATGGTTACGCTATAATAATTAATTCGAATAGTTAATTAGCATATAATCGACACGAGTTTCACAGAGCTAAATCTCAACATTATGTCACCATCCGCGATAAGCGTGGATTTACCTTCACCTTCAATACTTGCGTCAGTAGAATTATCTGATGTAGGTCCAGCGTGAGAGTGCTAGATAATTGAGATCTACTGTAGTAAGATTATAATCGTGTAGACATTCTAGTCAACGGAATTCATTCCCAAAGATTTTTTTGCTGCTAAAGTGCGTTCGCATATCGCAAAATTATTACGACCAGATTATCGGATTATAAAAAAAAACTTTAAATAGGTAGTTAAGATTTCTCATTTAATTTTCCATCGAATTTTTGTTTTTCATTAGATTGTGTGTTTAATCGAACCCCAAGTGCGACCCAAATGGAGTTTTCATGTCCGATTTTTTTATTCAAGCTCCAGAATGATGTCAGGTGTTAATGAAAAGGTGTGTAGTTATTGTTTTGGAATTTTCGGAAGTTGATCGATGCTACCATTGAATAAAAACACTATAAGAAGCCTAACCCCGTGGAAATAAAGCGCGACAGAGATTGAACTGAGAATATAATGGAAACACTGTCAATAGTGTCGATTCTTGAACTGAGAAGAATGAGAATTTGCTTTCCTCCTATTTACCGCAAAGAGAGTTCGGTGATCACAACCAATGCGGGTGCAAGGGGATTTGTCGCGCTTTCTTCCATAAGCGTTAGGCTTCTTATAGTGTTTTTATTCAATGATGCTACTGAGTCTCCCAATTTATTAATTTAAAGTCAATATTGCGATTGTTCATTGTGGCAGGGAAAAGAATAGCTAGCTGGAGGTGTTTTCTTTGCATCGACGGTGAAACGAGGAAACCATGTAACCCCGTTTCAGTAAGGGAGAGAAATCAGAACAATTTAATATCGATATTGGGACTCCACAGGGAAGTACCCTTGCTCCAATGCTTTTTCTAATCTACGTTAACGATATGGTCGAGTATCTGGGAAAATATGGCATTCTCTTTATGTATGCCGATGACACCACTATTATCGTCTCAGCCTCAACTCGAGAAGAAGCGATATCAAAGCTCGAAACTGCGCTCAGTTTATTTATGAAATGGTGCTTTTATAATAAACTGAAAGTCAATATAAACAAAACAGCGTGTATAGGCTTCAGCTACGGAACTAGAAACCCCCAAACTATCTCAATTCAAACCGACGACGGACAAATTATTAATCTTGTTGAAAAAGCTACTTTTCTGGGAACTGTTATCGATAGTAAGTTGACTTTCTCTGACCATATTGACCTCGTCTGTACAAAATTAAAAAAACTACACTATCTTTTCCTTAATTTAACTAATTACCTGGACAAAAATGCGTTACTCTCAGTTTACTATGCCAAAGTGTATTCTGCTTTTAGTTACAACATTATCGTGTGGGGACAATCAACAGAAGCTTGTAGAGTGTTTACCTTACAAAAACGAGTAATCCGGCGTATATACAATCTAAAATTTAACGAATCGTGTAGAGACACGTTTAGAAATAATAGACTTTTAACCTTTGTGTCAGTTTACTTGTTAAAAATTTTAGTGTACATTCATAAACACCGACTAGTTTTAAAACGAAACCGTGACAACCATGAATATTCCACTAGATCTGGAGATAATTTGTATCTTCCGAAATGCCATCACTCAAAATTCAAGAAGTCGGTCCAGTACGCAGGGTGTTACCTTTACAATGTACTATCACCTGACATCAAGAATATCACTAACACAAACACGTTCAAAAATGTGCTCAAAGACCTACTCATTGTAAAGTGTTGTTACACAATCCAAGAGTACTTGAATGTCATGTAAATAATAATGTTTGTCCAATATTTGTATACAATGTGTGTGTTTTATACCTATTGATTCTCTTTGTGTGACCAGCCTTATCTATTGTAAAAATAGCTACAAAGGTCTAATAAATTATTATTATTATTATTATTAAATTATTATTATTATTATTATTACCTACATATTTATATCTATATCGCGCCCCCTCTTGATTGGTGCCCATGGCACGTGTCATGCTTACCCATAGTTACGCCTCTGAAAGGGAGGCTTGTCATGGATTTAAAGGAGAGTAGAAAAGGAAGAAGTGTGGAAAATGATGAAGGATGAGAAAAATTAGATTACGATGTAAACGACAGAATCAAAGAGTTATATCGAGAGACAAAGGTAGGATATACCGTGTGTTCGAGATAATAGGGTCACCTCAATATCTTTCTTATTTGGCAAGATACGAAAAATTTGTCAAATATAATTTTATATGTGACATTACGATCTATCTGACCGCATATTAAAACTTCCGGTATCACTTTCCGTTTAACCGGAATTGGGAGCAACTTTTGTTTTTCGAACGCAATGCCTATGTTTTTAAAATATTTGAAAAGAGCAATTAATTTGCTGTATGACCACATAAAATATGCATAGGTATGGTTGATACACCAAAAACTGGAGAAATTCGTGATTTAATAGTTAGAAAACTTATGAAATCTAGCATGCCGTGTGCTGTCAAGATGCGCGGTGTCTGTGGTGTTACATAGGAAAGATCATAAACTTGTTCAATGTTCCGTTTCGTAGATTTACTTTTGCGCGATATGGTCTCCCCATGTGTTTCATAACACATAACACCACGCATCCTGACAGCACACGGCATGCTAGAATTCATAAGTTTTCTATTGAATCACGAATTTCTCCATTTTATTATATTTAACCGTAATCATATTCTACTGTCGTACAGCAAATTGATTGCTCTTTTAGACTATTAAAAAAAACGAAGAGGCACTGGGAAAAAAGGGAATTAATGTCTAAAAATCGAAGATGATGAGATCTGAGAAAGGGGAGGAAGGAAAAAGAACTGGAGGGGGGAATAGTACGAGAATTTAAATATTTAGGATACCGAATTTCACGAGTTGTAATGGAGCAAATGCACAAATAAGCCTAGAGAAGTGATGTTCATTTATTTATTTTTATTTATTTCTTGTCCCTTTTGTTTTGGGCCCTTGCGCCCAATTACAGTGATCCGCCTAATGCGAAATAAAATGCTGTTGCGTTTTATAGAATATTGATATTACAATGTGTACAAAATGATAGCCGAAGCGGCGAGCGCTGTCGTCGGAGTGAGCGTGGATGCGGGTCTTCTGGCTGGTGGAGTGTGGCGCGAGGTCGAGCTGGTTCTGAAGGCGGAGGTTGTTTCATGAGGCGCCGTCGAAGCAGAGTTGGGAGATATCCTTTTAAACATATCTCATCCGTTAGCCGTTTTGACCAATGAGAGTGCAGCACGTTTTATAGTTTGTTGCCCGATGTGCTTGCGGCGCATCGCCACATGATGTAGGTAATACCTATCTCCGATCTATATCCACTAGGTATAGATCAGAGATACCTATTACCACAGACAACATATACTACAGACGGTCAATCTTAAGGGGAAAAAGCACGCTAAGTTTTGTTTCAATGTCCCCTTATTTAAAAACCTGCTATCCCTCTATTTTGCTCCATCTATTAGCGCATACAACAATGTGTTGGTTCTTCTACAGATTTCTTTTATTGGAATGGTTTTACAAATTGTCTAGGGAAAGAAGTATTGATACTTTATTGTTAGAAAGCTGTCCCACAAGAAATCCCCATTTTTACATCTGGGGCGAAGTGCTGATAATCTTTGCAGGTACACATAAATATCACTTCATATTCGCAATTACGTATTACTCGTTGTCTTTGGGTGCATAAGAAACGATATAACTTGCACCACTTTTCGAATTCTCGAAAAAAGTGTAATCTCCGTGTTTTTTTATATACCTACATTACTCTACTTGCCTACTTGTCTCTCCGTTCGTGGAATAAATCTTGCAATCAGCAATTTAACTTCATTTAACTTGGATAAAGAAAACCTAAACGTACCTAAGCAAATTTTCGAATGAATATTTGCTTCATATGTAATAAATCCCATTTGAGGTGTGCAATTATCGGTCAATTACAGCGGTAATTGCATTGTAGAAAACGAAAGAGCCCTGCGATAATGGCACATTTCATGGGAATTACACTTAACTTTTTTATAAGTAGGTAAGGTCTTAACTACTCCTACAGTTTTCAAGATATTTAGTTCGTTCTTTTTGCATTCGGTAGCGTATTATATCGCTCTGGCACCTGAGTCAAAGAAAATCTTGACGATAGAACTGCGCAGGCTGCGCAATGTTAACTTTTTTATATATTACTATATTTTGTTGAAATTTTAATCACAGATACTTGTAGTAAAGGCAAATATATCGCATATAGTAAAAAGCAGATGTGCGCATGCGCAGACTGCGCAATGCAAACTTTCTTATTTATGGAGATATTTCTTTGAAATGTTAACCAAAGATACTTATAGTAAAAGCAAACGTATCGCATATTGCAAATATCGGATTAATAAGCGCATGCGCAGGACGCGCAATATCAACTGCGCAGTAAGTGTCAACTTCCTTATTTATGAAGAATTTTAACCATATATGCGTCTAGTAATGAAAAACGTAGCGCACATAGGTATGGCCTTTGGGGAAGTATTGATCAATTTATGGAAAATGCGTTGAAGTTACTCGCCTTAGGGCGAGAACCTTTTTACTTGTTTATTCATGTATTTATCAGTAAAAAACTGCGTCAGGTTATTTTCATAATTTGTTAAAAGAGCATTTTGATGCACTTGTGCAATTACCTACGAAAATTGTCACAAAGCAAAGTTTTAATAGCGATCCTCGAAATGGTTTATAGTTTTGTATCTATTACTGTCTGCCGGTTTAGTGTGTTGTCACTTCACTCACCGAAACCATGTGTATTGTATGCAAAAAAATCCCCTGAATCCGTAAATGACAATCTAGCTGACCGGAAACTCCGGGACCATATTGTTATACACAAGAAAACGAAGAAAAATGGGAAAACATCGTTTTTTCGCATTTGACTTAATTAGGTATCTCGTTAACTATTCCTCTTACGGAAAAAATGAAGATAACGATTTGTTTAGAATCGATTTTTCTATCAGATACAGTTGGTATGATTTTTATTAAACAGAGTGCCTATTATAAAGTTACTTTCTTGTTCTATTTCTGGGGTTTCCACTAAACTAATTCTAATTCCACAGTCCGTCGATTTGCAAAACTCATCGGGACAACAGACAATTGTTGGAATAGGTTGTTTTACGGTTCCACCATCCATAAAAATATTGAAAACGCTCTGGGAGTCATCCAGTTTGAAAGACAAAGCATCGAGAAGGGCGTATCAACAAAAACAAATGTTAATTTTTAGGATTACTTTTTTGTATTTTTCCAGACAAAACAATAACATTTAAAAATGAACGGTTCTGTAGGTACCAACTGAAAATTCGATTCTAAACAAATTCATTTCTATGAGTTCGAGCAATAGTTGCCGAGATAATTAGAAGTCAAATGCAAAAAAAACTGCATTTTTCCATTTTTTCTTGGTTTTTTGTGTATAGCAATATGTTCCGGGAGCTTCCGGGCAGGGAACTACATAGAATACACTTGGTTTACTAATTTGACAGGACTATGTTGACCCTACACATTGACATAAAATAAAGTACGTTAAGTGCTCCCTCTCCTAATCAAAAAATTTTGTGATGGTATTATCACAGATACATATAGGTAGGCAAGGCCGTGCGAGGGGGAGGGGCGAGGGGGCCCAGGCCCTGCGCGCCAAGTCTGGGGGGCGCTGAAGTCGCCCGTCGTCGCCTTCGTCGGGAGCGTCAAAGGCGTGAGTGAAAGATTTACCTCGAATTATATAAACGAATCCGTACATACTCTTGTTTCGTATTTTATAAATTCAGAATCAGTAAAAATTTAAAAATTAAAAACTGTCCCGTTTATAAAGTCGGTAATTCCATGGAGTTAGGAAATCAAACAAAAGCGCCTGCATTTGCCCTGTTTGATCTCAAATTGCCATGGCACCACTGATTTCTTAAAAGCGCCAGTTTTTAGTTATCCAATTTCTTGGATTCAAAGTTCAGAAAATTAAAAGCTATAGTATGCATGGATTCGTACTTTTTTTCTCTACAAAAAATAGACTTTCTCTCTAAAATAATTAGAGAAGTCAATAATCAGAAATAAAAAAATTACTATTGCAATTCCTATGGTGCGTTGTTCAAGTCACCACCCGGTATAATAATATATTATGGAAAAACAAAAATTATGTTTATTATTCTAATAAAATCTTTCCTTGTCCAACCTCATAATTTTATATGTGGAGGCCAAATTTAGTTTCCGCCCTTGTATAACCAAACCCGCTCCATCAATTTTTTAAATGTTTAGAAAAGAGAAAAATGAAGAATTAAAATATATGCGATTTCATGTAATTTATGATGTTATACAAGTGAGCGCTTATCTTATCTACGTAAAGGCCGGCGTTGAAGCCGAGGAAATAAGGTTTGAGTAAATGTATTTTATTTTTACAAAAATGACTCCATCTATTACACACTTTTACCACACACAACAGTTTTCTGTGCGTCTACCACATTTTACGACAAATTATTTCGACTGCTTCAAGGTAGACAACACACTAACCGTACTCTATTAGGTGTTGCGTTTTTTTCTATAACATTGCATTGACCGTCTGTAGTATATGTTGTCTGTGCTATTACAAATGAGTAGGTAATGGTACCGAAACCGAACGCTCCTCGCACTTGGAATCGAAACCGGTATTCAAGAATTATAGGTTATTATGGTAATCGGAACCGATACCGGTATGGTTATTATCCGTGACAAAGAACCCCTATTTTACCTATTCTTAGATTTAACATTAGGGGCACCATAGACATTATATGTCTGAACGTCCTTGGCGGGTAAATAATCTAACGACAAATTTAATTAGGTACGTGATTTTGTATGTAGGTACAATTAAAATATCAATGAATTAACATAACATACATAGAGTTATAACACGAACGCGAATTTCTCTATAAAAATTAAATTAAAAACAGTAAGAGGATTGAGGAGTGTGTGAGGAATTCAATTTGTGTAGGTACCTATTATCTTTTTCCTATAACACCTATATATTTTTTAATAATAATTTTATTTATGTTAGAACCCTTAAAAAATAATTCTACCCAAGTAGGATGGAACCTAAACCTAATCGCGATTCAAATTAACAGTAACACCTTTGGTGGCATAAAACCGCCATTTTGTTTATTAAAGGTACCTCTACACTATCATACTTCTCATGTGATTTGTCATATGATAAGTAACAAGCATTTTTGATTTGTGTTTACACTTTACTATTTTTGGTATTATGGCTGTCATAAGACAAATCATAAGGAAATAATATGGAAATAATTTATTTATACTACTACTACTATAATATTTTAAATATCCAAGTGATCCCGCCCTTTTATGGTTACTTTTCGCATTTTGCTGTTGTACTTATCTGAAAAAGCTGAATACTTGAGTAAACCAGTAAACTTTTGATTATATCATTGATTATAGGTGTGTATAATCAATGATTTTAGGTACCTATAATACTAGTTACTAATGAAAGAATAAATTACATAAACAATAAATCGAGCAATAAATATTTAGGAGTATATTGGTATTTGGTTGTCTGGTTGTAGTGGTGTTTTCAGACACACATTGTCAAATAGTGTCTTGATTGGTAATTAACCCTTCAAATGCTTGGGGTAATCTTTCAAATAAGGGTAAGTACACTCATCCTTAATGTCGACCAAGGGGACGACTCTGTTTGCTTTGTTAATACAACGCATAACGGAGAAATTATTTTTAAAATAATTGTTAAACTTTTTTCGTTAAAAATGTACTATGATTTTTGAGGCACTTTAGAAGGTCACATATTTGTGCTTTACAGGTGATTTTTTTGAGTTCTAAGTTAGCCTGAAGGTACTTTTTTATTGAATACTTATTGTGATAATTAGCGATTTATTTTAATACAGAAGTTATAACAGCACAAAATTTCTTATTTGCCAATTTACCTATTTAAAATTTTGCGGGATCCCCTCTAACGATCCAGCAAATACCGGGTTCCCGCGGGATTAACATCTAACGATCCCGCAAATACCGGGATTGAGATTTTGCTGCGGGATTGCATTCCCTAGCTGTAACTTTTGAACTAGTAGCCCAATCTTGGAAGTGTTTGAAATTATGGATTCTACAGGACACGTTCTATAAGAAAAATTTTTTTCCGGGTCGATCTGAGACAATTTTTTTTTCGGGGTAAAAAAAGGCAGTGTATAACCTTCCTTTTTTCCAAAAATCGACTGCACCAAAATTTCTCGGGAAAACACTTTTTCTTAGTAATTTTGGTGCGTAGAATCCAAAACAATTCGTACTTTTTCGATCAGACTTCTCAATCAAAAGTTATAGACTAGAAACCAATTTCGAAAGAAAATTAAAAGGGCTGTAACTTTTGAACTAGTAGCCCAATCTTGGAACTGTTTGAAATTATGGATTCTACAGGCCACATTCTATAAGAAAATTTTTTTTCCGGGTCGATCTGAGACAATTTTTTTTTCGGGCCTCAAAAAAAGGCAGTGTATAACCTTCCTTTTTTACCAAAAATCGACTGCACCAAAATTTCTCGGGAAAACACTTTCTTATTAATTTTGGTGCGTAGAATCCAAAACAATTCGTACTTTTTCGATCAGACTTCTCAATCAAAAGTTATAGACTAGAAACAAATTTCGAAAGAAAATTCAAACGGCTGGTAACTTTTGAACTAGTAGCCCAATGTTGGAACTTGGAACATTTTAATTTAGAGAATTATACTTATAGGTTTCGTAACTACTTGTATTAAAGTCATATGAAAAACCTGTTAAGTCTTAAGTGTAAAGTAAAACATTAAAACTCATACGAAAAATATGTTGGTAGTAAATATCATATAACATATATAAAAAAACATGTGAGATATATTATAGTGTAAAGGTACCTTGACAATGGCGAAAAGCAACCAATATTATCGTTGTTTTTATGGATGTACAAGTAAATACGCCTGCAAAAGTTACATATTATGCAATCACACCTTAAAGAGACTTTAAAACATCACTTTTTGTCACTATACTTTCAAGAATTTTAAATGTGATCAGTGCAATTATGCAGCCAACAATAAGGACAATTTCGAAATCGATGTCTAAAGCATAATATTGCTAAAGTCCTTAATTGTGAACGGTGCAATTACTTCATTCTCTGCCTTGAATAACTTTCTATCACTGCTATCCGTGTAATTACGCTTTAATTAATAACGTTCGCTTAACACGTCCCCTTTTAATACCCATTCTCAAAAATTTAATTTGTGATCACTGTTTTTTGCTACTCACGGCAAGCATAACTTTAAGCTACTGTTCAAATATGTGTTCAGTTTAATTATCTCTAGAATAGCAATGCCGTTATAAAGCATAATCGACATAAGGGAATGTCGGCGAGCGAGCTGTTGTAAAAGTGCGCTAAAAATTGAGATCTTTACTTACACAAGGCACAATGTACAGGCTGTACATCATACTATAAATAATTTATCATACGTGAAAATAAACAGTTTAGTGCAATTCACTTAAAACGAATTGATCAGTTAATGTGGATAGGTGCTACCTACAAAAGGAAAATGTTTCAAAAAATTACGCATATATTTTTGTACAATTGTTAAACAATTTAGACGTTACAAAATAAATTATACATAAATCATGATGACACGTTGTTCTCTGTTTTATTATTATTCGTAACAGTCGCTAAAATTACGGTGTGTTGTCCGCCGCTGCTGACCTTAAATACTTGCCGATCGATCAGTTGCTTAGTTTTAATTAGAGTAGGTGCGAAGCAGTCTTCGTCTTCGCCTGTACCTAACTGTCCCACTGTTCCCATGCCCCAACCGTATAAGTCGCCTAAAAAAAAAAATGAAAATTTCACAGGGAAGTTGGTGCGAGTCGAGAACTAAGAGACTGATAAACAAACTCAAGGTCCTAACCTAGGGCAATGAGTGATACTGAAGGAGTGGAGTACAATTGCTGCAAAATTAACTTGCAGCTCATAGACACTAACCTTCTTCTGTCACGGCGAATGAAGTGGCAGATCCACAACCGATGTCGATAATTTTCTTGTTCTGCAAAGCTGGAATAGCGGTAAGTTCTTCGGCGTCGTTGCACTCGTTTCCCAGTCCCAAACGTCCATACTCCTTCCTGCCGATCGCGTACGTGACCCCGTCCTCGTCAAGAGCTACCGTATGATGTTGCCCGCCGCAAATTAACTTCCATTTGCGGCTCGAGAAGTCCTTCGACAACTTAACGGAGAACTGCGGTTTGGCGGTTTGCGACAGGCCAATTTGGTTGTAGTTGTTCAGACCGAAGACGTAAATATCGTCGCTGTTAGCGACTTTAGCAAAAGTAGCGTAGGTGCCGGTCCAAACGTCTTCAAAGTGCAATTTCAACGACGGCTTTAGGCTTATTAGCGCCGGGTGTAACAGTTTGCCTGAAACAGCGACCTTAGCAAAAAGACAGAGAATTGCTGGATACCTAATTGGTCGACGCCGGCCCCGCTGCGCGCTGTCCGACCGCTGCTTCGTTCGCTGGTGCGGCCCAACTGCCCCTGCTCGCCACAGCCGCAGGTGTAGATATCTCCTTGCGCGGTCAAACATACAAAATGATCTGCGCCCGACGCGATTTTAACGATAACGCGATTCTCCAGGATTTGGTATGGCCGGTTCTCGTTGCCGTTGGGCGTTAGGCCCATATTTCCGTGTGAATCCTATAAAGCACTCTTGTAAGCCTAATTGTTCATGAAGTTCTTATTTGCTAAACCATAAACACAACAAGTTACGTGGGCTGAGTATAAAATAAAATCATGCAAACTCTTTTAAAGACTCGTAACGACCTCAACGGAATCCCATCCAGGAAAGTACTCTGGAACATTTTTGAACACACAAATGCTCTTGGTCTCTGTGGCTCCTGAACGCATGAGGGGCTCAGGGGACAAAAAATAAGTGCTTTGAAAACTGTATGGAATACCCCCTCAGAAGAGGACCCAAAAGTTCTTACTTTTTGAAGACTGATAAAGACCTTTAAGACCTCTAGAAGGGCTCCTAAATAGGAACAAAGGCTACAACATAAGCCTGTAAAATTTCGAGCAACCTACAGACACAAATGGTTAGATCCGCACAAACTGAACGCAAAGGGAGAACGTACGGGAGGGTCTGAAGGGTATTTTAAACACAATTAAAAAATTGTTTTGAAATTTTATTATATTTTCTTAAATTATTTGCACCTTTTTTTACATTTTTTATCTGAATCTTTTTTGAATATCATCCCTGACACGTTATATTTTTGAAAAGAGAAATTAATATGCTCTCATTACAGATGAAAATATCCATTAAAAAAAAATTAGGTTAGCTCTGATAACTTTTTTTGACAGATCTTGTATTCAAAACAATTTTTGAATTGTTGATTTTGTTCAAACTCTTTTGAATCAATATTGAATGTTTTAGTGTTCAAAACAATTTTTTAATTTTTTGCACCTTCTTTTAATGTTTTATTTAAATCGTTTTTTAAGTGAATTGAATCTTTTGAATATCATTCTTGGTGTGATATCTTTTTAAAAAGAGAATTTATCTTTACACATTAAAATATACGGCGTATTTCGTTTAAAAAAATTAGGTTAGCTCTGATAACTTTTTTTACCAGATCCGAAAACGATAGATTATTCAACAATAATCATAAAGAAACTTTTGTAAAAAATATTGTTCTGTATCTTTTTAACTAAGAACATATAGGGTCAGGCAAAAAAAGGCATCCGACTTAACCTCTTTTTTTTTAAGAGAAGACCTTGTATAATTTAATCTAAATCTTTTTCTCATTTGATGAGTTTAACGACTTCTGTTGGAGTGGTTCGTAATTGTATCAGTCATTCTGTGTTATATGTTTTTTTTTATGTTTGTTGTATTATACAGGGTGTTTTTTTGGGAGCTTTAGTTAAACGTTTCTGGGAAAGTAAAATAGGTAGGTTTTTGAAAAGTTGAACTTAGGAGTTACTCTGAAGGCCGAATCGATGTAAAATATTTTCAAAATGGCCGCACTTCCGGAAACACCGGAAGTAGATAGTAACTTCGTTATTTTAAATGGCAACCCCTATTTTTTATTGCATTTTTGGATTCTAAGTGAAATTTCAACTCTTTTGATACCCATATGTCGATATCTGCCACTTATGGTTTTTAAGTTATTTTGATTTTAAGAAAAAAAATGGCGGATGCAGACGGTACTTTGATAATTGATTACTTGAAAACGGTTGTAGTCAAGGCAACCCATTTTTATCAGTGTATAGAGAATGAATGGGGTTTTCTTTTAATGTACTTAAAAAAAAGTTAAGTTGCGTACAACCACACCTATGGAGGTCCAAATTTAAGAAACTTTAAAGTCTATAAACTCAGTTTTTTAAAATGGAATGACCCTGTTCTTACTATTGCATGAGATAGAGAATCGAAATTGGCATATTTTGATATTACATGTTCCTATAGCTATCTTTAACAGTTTCTGACTTATTCCCATTTTATTGAATTGACACTATTTTTTTCGAATTTTCTTTTTAGTAGTCGGCCATGATTTTAAAACAATCGAATTTTAAACAAATCTAGTGACACTAATCCGTCACCTACTGTTATAGGTGCACATAGGTTTTTCAAAAATCGAAAAATGACTCGGAGTGGTTTCATCTATTTTGGAATTTAATAAATTGTTATTTATGGTAAAATGGACAGAATCGCGACACGTGGTTGCCGTACATTCATTCGAACACTGGAACGAAATTGTATCAATTTTGGAAATGTTGTACCCCCAAATGCACTACAAACCGTTGAAGCACAAGTGATACAAAGCTCTACAACAGAATATTTAAGAGAATGAATTGAATTGCAAATGCAAGATTAACAAAATAAATTCAATGCAAAATATAAAAAACTTCGTTGAAACATTTTTGGTATGGAATTGTTGCTAGAACAGATATCGCATTACCTCTCTTAATTTCCAGACTTATACGTTGTTTAAGAAATTCAGTTGAACGACTGTCTAGATTTTTCAAAAATTTTCCATCCTATATCCTTAACAAAAAACTTATTTATTAATGAATTAATTAGGCTACAATAAATGATATTAACGAATCCATTCCTTGATTTGTTTAAAATTCGATTGTTCTAAAATCATGGCCAACTACTAAAAAGAAAATGCGAAAAAAATCGCATCAATTCCTAGATCAATTCAATGAAATGGGAATAAATCAGAAACTGTTAAAGATAGCTATAGGAACATGTAATATCAAAATATGCCAATTTCGATTCTCTATCTCATGCAATAATAAGAACAGGGTCATTCCATTTAAAAAAACTGAGTTTATAGACTTTAAAGTTTCTTAAATTTGGATCTCCATAGGTGCGGTTGTACGCAACTTAACTTTTTTTTAAGTGCACCAAAAGAAAGCCCTATTCATTCTTTATGCACTGATAAAAATGGGTTGCCATGACTACAACCGTTTTCAAGTAATCAATTATCAAGGTACCATCTGCATCCGCAATTTTTTTTCTTAAAGTCAAAATAACTTAAAAACCATAAATCGCAGATATCGACATATGGGTATCAAAAGAATTGAAATTTCACGTAGAATCCAAAAATGCAATAAAAAATGCGGGTTGGCATTTAAAATAACGAAGTTACTATCTACTTCCGGTGTTTCCGGAAGTGCGGCCATTTTGAAAATATTTTACATCGATTCGGCCTTCAGAGTAACTCCTAAGTTCAACTTTTCAAAAACCTACCTATTTTACTTTCCCAGAACCGTTTAACTAAAGCTCCCAAAAAAACACCCTGTATGCTAGTGTGCTCTTTATCTAATGACGTGTAAATGTATCAACATGTCTGCACAACAACATAAATGATATTATTATGATTATTAAAAAAATAGTATATTAAAGGCTCTTTTCAATAATATAACACTAAAAAGTTAATTTGATTTAAAAAAATTAAAACAAAATTTAAAAAATGAAATTTTTGTATTTTCTTAAATTATTTGAACCTTTTTTTAATTTTTTATTTGAATCTTTTTCTTACTATCATCACTGATGTGTTCTATTTTTGAAAAGAGAATTTAATATGTTCTCATTACAGATGAAAATATACAGGGTATTCCATTAAAAAAAATTAAGTTAGCTCTGATAACTTTTGACGGATCTCGGATTCAAAACAAATTTTGAATTGTTTTAATTTTGTTCAAAATCTTTTGTATCAATATTGAATGTTTTAGTGTTCAAAACAATTTTCTAATTTTTTTTGCACTTTCTTTTAATGTTCTATTTGAATCTTTTTATGTGACTTGAATCTTTGTGTGATATATTTTTAAAAAGAGATTTTATCCTTACACATTAAAATATATACAGCGTATTTCGTTTAAAAAAATTAGGTTAGCTCCGATAACTTTTTTTACCAGATCTCGTATACTTACAGATTTTGAAAACGGTAGATTATTCAACAATAATCATAAAAAAACTTTTGTAAAAAACATTTTTCTGTATCTTTTTTAACTAAGAACATATAGGGTCAGGTAAAAAACAATTATCCGACTTAACCTCATTTTTTTTAATGAAAGACCTTGTATAATTTAATCTAAAAAAATAGGATATTAAAGGCTCTTTTCAAAAATATAACACTAAAAAGTCAATTTGATTAAAAAAAATTCAAAAATTCAAAAATTGTTTTGACATTTTTTGTATTTTCAACTATGTATTTGAACCTTTTTTTAAAATTTTCCTTAGTATTATCACTGATGTGTTCTATTTTTGAAAGAGAATTTAATATGCTATCATTATAGATTAAAATATACAGGGTAATCCATTAAAAAAAATTAGGTTAGCTCTGATAACTTTTTTTTGACAGATCTCGTATTCAAACCAATTGTTGAATTGTTTTAATTTTGTTCAAAATCTTTTGAATCAATATTGAATATTTTAGTGTTCAAAACAATTTTTTAATTTTTTTGCACCTTTTTTTAATGTTTTATTTGAATCTTTTTTAAGTGACTTGAATCTTTTGAATATCATCCTTGGTGTGTTATATTTATAAAAGAGAATGTATCTTTATACATTAAAATATACAGGGTATTTCGTTTAAAAAAATTAGGTTGGCTCTTTTTTTACCAGATCCTGTATACTCGCCTGTATACTTATTTTGAAAACGGCAGATTATTCAATAATAATTATAAATGAACTTTTGTGTAAAACATTTTTCTGTATCTTTTTTAACAAGTTATCCGACTTGATTTTTGTAATAAAAGACCTTGTATAATTTAAACAAAAAAATAGCTTTTTAAAGGCTCTTTTCAAAAATATTAACTAAAAAGTCAATTTGATTAAAAAAAAATTTTACATTCAAAAATTGTTTTGAAATTTTTTGTATTTTCTTAAATTATTTGAACCTTCTTATAAATTTTTTATTTGAATCTTTTTCTTAGTATCACTGATGTGTTCTATTTATGAAAAGAGAAATTAATATGCTATCATTATAGATTAAAATATACAGGGTAGTCCATTAAAAAAAATTAAGTTAGCTCTGATAATTTTTTTGCCAGATCCCATATTCAAAACAATTTTTGAATTTTTGTATTATTTGAACCTTTTTTTAATGTTTCATTTGAATCTTTTTTGAATATCATCTCTAGTGTCTTATATTTTTAGAGAATTTAATAGATTAAAATATACAGAGTGTTCGGTTTAAAAAAATTAGGTTAGCTCTAATAACCATTTTTACCAGATCCCGTACACTTATTAGGAAAACGCTGAGGAAAAAAGTGATTCCATTACCTTCAAACTGTAAGACTACTTAAGGGCTCCAAAATGCACGATAGATTCAGGGGCCAAAACATAAGCGAAGTAAAAATTGTTTATGACAACTGTAAAATAGTTAATGAGTAACCTACAGACAAAGAAATGGTTGGAAGAGTACATATGAGTGCAGAGAGCGGATGTACAGGGGTGTCTAGGCGATATTCGAAAAAAAGGATTCAATTTAGAACTTTTTTATCGCCATTCTACAGGGTGTTTTAAAACTAATGGTCAATTTTAAACCTTCAAACCCTAAAACGTTGATTTTTTCAAATTAAACATGTTTTACTTTTTTGCATATTCAAATAGGAACATTGGAATTTGAACACCCGCCTGTACAGTATATCTTGTCCACAATCATGAGAAAAATGGAAAATTTTTACGTCTTGCCCATTGAGACAATGTGTTTTGACATTTTCCCAACAAAATTAATGGGAAGCTTTTGCACCAGTTTTTCACTACTAACGTAACCTAAAAGAGAGCAATAACAAGCGTAAGATTGCTTGCACACCACACAACATTTGAATCAATGGTTTGATATTCTGGGAGAAGTTGTTATGGAGATATCAATTAAAATCCCAGGACATTCATATCATCGATGCATATTGCCTATATTGTCTACATTAAGTAAAGTGGGAAAATGTGACAAGAATTACTTTTCAAATACTTCTACACAGTGAATAATCCATCGATATTGCTTTTTTTAAAACAAATATCCCTTTAATTGTACAGAACAGAAATTTATTTAGGGCAAATAAAAGGCTTTAGCTTTAGAGCCTCTCCTTAGAAACACTACGCAATACACACCCTAAATGTGCCCCAGATGAAAACGCGTCCGTCACACAGTAAGGCAGCAGAATGGGAATCTCCGGCAGACACCTGCACGACTTTGTCAGGCAGCTCAACTTCGTCAGCAGTAAACTCGGAATCCTCCTTGTCAGCCGTAATTCGACCTAAAGCACCCTCGTCATTGCAACCAAAGGTTAAAACTTTGCCAGTCTTCGTCAGACACACAGTGTGCATTCCGCCGGCGCACACGTCGACGATTTCGTGCTCCATGTTTACCAACGAGAACCTGCTCTTCTCCAGGATGTCACTACCCATGCCGAGCTGGCCTACATCACCTGCGCCCGTTACCAGCACCACGCCGCTCCTTTGCAACCCGACCGGTACGTCGTGCTCAATTACAACTAAAATACGACAAATGTACGAGTTGCTACCAGAGGAGAACTCACCCTTGAGTTTCTTCGGAAGCTTCACAGCGCCAGTATCGGACTCCCGCACCGAATTGGAACGTCTTCGTTTTGGCGGCATTGCTTCCACGTAAATGAAGACAGAATTTGCTAAATTGTGTACTTTTTTGTGGTACACAAATTCTGGAAAATTAGCCTTCAATGGTTGAGAAAATGGTGAAAAACTCCGGCGGGAATAATCCCCACCACATGAGACCAACGGCCGATTCGGGTTTTTTAGGTTAGATTTCATTTGCAATGTTGCCGATTGTTACTTTAATACAAGGTGATACAATAAAATTGGACTCGAATGATCACAAAATCTTCTGCACCTTAAAACAAATCAGTCCAAGTTTCGGCACTAGTATATACCTTCGCCACCGGAAAGTACGCATTTCTTATTTCCTCTCCCAAGGGAAATTGACCACCGCAACTTTTACTCGTTCATCACTTGGTTCTTGCTCGCCCCAAGAATATTTCAGGCCTGTAGTAACTGCATCCAGAAGACTTGTCCTTGAAATAATTGAAATGTACCCATGACCAAAGATTACTTTCATCTCTGTGGTCCCCAGCTAAAGTGACTTCCGCAATTTTTTCGAGTCCATAATTTTCACCCCAGCCGAAAGACTTCCGGATATTGTTTACTAAAAAAAACTGTTCACCACAACCCCATCAACAAGCATGGGACTTCTAAAATAACTGATGTGTGCCCAGTTCCAGAGATTTCTTTCATTTCTGTAGCTTCATCAGGTAAAATCACATTCAGAATTTTCGCCTTCGTTAGGAGGTTGGCCCCCCTGGAACCAGCTCACTACCAGGGTCTTACTCCTCCAAAGAAATAATTACTTTCTATAGAGAATTCGGTTCAGAAGACTGGTGCTTAAAAAACTGACGCACGCACCCAACTTCAGAGAATCCATTTCTGTGATAAAGGGAAAAGAATACCCGATGGAAATGATAGATGGAGGAAAAGGGGAGAAATGGATGTTGGAAAGTTGTTCTACTGTAAAAAGTTTTTCTTTCCCCAAGATGATGATTGATTAGAAGGTTATGTACATATTTAGAAGACAAAACAAAAAAAAAGTTGAACATTACTTATAATATCAATAAATACGCATAAAAAACAGATAATCAAACAATTAGCAGTATAAAAGTACTCTTGGCTAAAATGATTCAACAATACATAAACTCTAACATTAGAAACAAAGAATCTCGACATCATTGTTCGACAGTTACCGGCTTAATGTCGTCCAAGATTTTTCTTTCCTCCAAATAATCCTTCTCATTCCCACTCGCCTCTTGAAGAAACGAAGTATCTTCATCGAACGAAGATGAATCTAAAACAACATCAGTTGGCATTCTCGCCCTATCGAAACTCACCATCCTCGACGTTTCCCTTGAAGTATTCGAGTCGGCGATTCGCCGCGATGCCGCTCTCGTAGTTCCTATAATCGTCGGAGAGTATAAGCTGGTACCATGTGATGATACAGACGATGGCAATAAAAAATAGGTTCGAAGTGATACCTAAAAGGGATCTTCACAATTATAAGAGCGCAAAACGGACGACGACCCACCTATTGTCGCGGAAACGAGCGGCCAATGGAACATAAAGTAGCGCAATCCTGAGAATTGGGCGTTAATGAAAAATTTCGCCGAGTACAACTGAATGTACTTCGTCTGTATTTCAAGATAAACGTCCGTCACTGGAGCGGTCTGAAATCAGTTAAATGTACGCGAGTGATTGAAGTTGCGAGGGGTGATTCACACTCGGAAATGCCTACATTAAGTGAGAAAGAGAAATGTAAGAAGTTGGAAAGAGAGATAGAAAGGGCGAAGGAAGATGTGAGACATCCAAGAACACAAGGAGAAAAATTGAACTCAAATAAGTGGAATACAATTAAATTTAGTAGTCTGCGCATGCGCACATTTAATTTTTACTATATGCGATATGTTTGTCTACTAGAAACGTCTATAGTAAAAATTAAAAAAAATCAAAACATAGCAAGTCACATGCGCAC